GGAAAGAGAAAGGGAGACAGAGAAAAGCAAAAAACAACTTGGGAATCATTTCAAGGCCTGCGATGTGGACAGGTTTGCTGAGAGATATCTTGGAACAGTACAAGGTAAACACAGTCTAAATCACCTGCTTTGGGAAGATAAGTACTGTGAGTTCTCTAAGCTAAATGTACACCGCTGAAATTTGATTGAAAACTTTGCGATGTGAAGACTGAAAATCACAAGAAAGAGGCAGGCAGCATTTAATCTCCTGTTGGATGACAATTCAAGATAGACTGATAGAGATACCTGCTGCCTGATAAACCAGTCAATATTGTAGATGGTAGACACTTGCAGGAAACAGACACTGCAAAAGGGGAAAAAAATCCTCTGTATTTTTTATATTTTCATCCTGTTCTCAGCTCCCTGCTAAGCAGGATGAGACTTGTATTTTCCTCTGTCAAGTTATTGCACTTCAGATGCTGTGAGCACCCAAATTTCCTTTAAAGGGCATGCTGTTTAAGGTAGGAGTAACATGTATGCACGAAATCTAGGGAATTCTAAGTGCCTGGAAAACACAGCGTGATAGAAACCAAAGGTGACAGATCCTGCCACGACTTCTTATTAATTTCTTTTCTTGTCTATTATGGAAGAATTATTCACCCCCTAACCTACTGCAGACTGAATGGTGGTGTTTTGTACAAGCAGCGCATCTTTTGAACAAGAGTACCTGGCTGTGAGACCATAAAACAAAAAAGCACCAGGTTTGTGAAAGCATGAGGAAATCACAGATAAGCAGAAAGCACTATTTAGACTTTTTGAAAGGACCTGGATAAGTTGGTATATACATATTCTTACCACAACACTTCAGTTTTTGTGTGCACATATCCTTCGCGTTATGTTTATTACGAGAGCTAAGACAGCAGGCTTTCTAACAGCTCGCTGCTGCTGCTGTCTTACTATGATTTTCCTATCTTTTAATTAAAAGTATATTTCACAGCCAAGCCAAATGTTTTATAATAACAAGAAGGAAATGCAGAGAAACAGCAAGGAAAACTTTTGACCTCCTGTGGACTGAACATACTTCTTCTTGCCATGCAACGAGACTAAATCATCACATGTGTTGCTGATGGACATTCATCATTATTTCTTCCCAAACTGAAGGCATATTTTATTTTCCTGAAGCTTGGATTTTCTCCAAGTTTTGCAGGAAAATGTTGTTGCCATTGGAGCTTGTTGCTGTATGTCACCACCTGCTGGCAAACATCAGTTGAGGGTTTCTGTCTTGATTGCACAGCTGAAACAGTGTAGACAAGGACTTTTATGTTCCTTGATAGAGACAGATAGGTGGCCACAAACAGAACATATGTTATTTAAACAGATTTTTGGTCTTGAATGCATATATTCAGACCAAGCCTGTTTGTATAACATGCAATCTGGATCCTGCAAACCATTACTCAGGCAACTAGTTCTTAGTAGAGGAGGAAAGGTGCAATTGCATAAAAAAGGTTGCCAATGTGGGGAAATCTTCATGGACTCCTCTGGTTCATGTACCTGAGTTTGCTAGAAAAATAAACCAGACTTTAAAAATACATGGCATAAGCTGCTGCAATATTTAATTAAAAATAGTATAGATTGAAAACTCACAATAACCTCCTGGAGACAGCCTCAGATTTACATTTCTTGACCTATGCTATTTATTTCACAGGTTTAACTATGAGAGTTTCTTCTTTTTCTATGAGATGTTTTTAGAAATCAGCCCTTTGAATATGAAAGTGTATTTTGAAGCACTTATTATTCATTCTATCCACTCTAATAGGTAAATGTGCATTGCAGTGTGGGCACTAATGCTGATAATTCATATCATTTATCTGATAGATTGGGAGCCATTATGGCCTGTTGTGTAAATTCATATTTTGGCACTCTTTAAAAAGTGGATTATTATTGACCCAATAGACCGTAACAGCTCCAAAGAAGCCATTACTGTCTATTGTGTAAGTCCTTCATGGCGCATGTTTTATTGACCCTTTGGAGCCATCATGGTCTGTCTTGTCAATCTGGATGCCATGTGAGCGTATTAAGGCTGCCTGCGTAACATCCGTACAGAGCAGGAGTCGCATTATTGATGCGTGTCTCTACGAAATTACATTTTGAGCCACGTCAGCCAGCTGTTTCTTTCCTCAGGTTCCAAAACACCTATTGTTCTAGTTCACATCCTGAGCTAGAGATGAGGGCTATGAAAATCGCCTGAAGAAAATGAAGCCATTACTCTTTTTTTCTTAAAAGAAAAAAGAGTGAAAATCTGGCTCCCCTTCACCAGGAAGAAAAGAGAAATGGCTGTGGGTGGTCAGACTACCATATCTCTTCCTCATGAGCCCCTCTCCTCTCCCAGCTTCACACAAATAGGACAGCACCTGTATAAAAGGAAATGTCCTCTCCTCCCTTCATGGCCCACAAAAGCTCCTTTGACAGACAGCAGGGTGGCTGCCTTGTCTGTGCAGGGGGAAGGCTGAGCAGGCTTTGCCCTGTGACCAACCTGCACAAGGAGCAAGCAGGCTTGAAGACAATGCTAGGTGAAAGGGTTCATGCACACTGTATGCATGGAGGTGCCTTGATTTGAGGGCTTTAATGAGAAACAGGAAGGATAAAGCGAGGCCCCAGTTGAAATCTTGTACTGAGGGAGTGCCTGCTGCTGCTTCCAGGCTCAAGATGTTGGTCTGGCCAGCCCTGCAAACCAAACTACTGCACATCCTTGCTGTCTAGCTAACCCTCTGTAGGAGAGCAATAAAGTCTACCCTGAGCATGGCTTTTCCCAGAACACATCCATGAAGGTAAACACAGCTCGTTGTCAGAAGCCCATTACCTGCAGACTGTCTCACTCCTTTTCTCCAATGAGTCCCAAACAAAAACCACACAGAAACCACATAACCTGAGCTGTCTCCAAAGTAAAAAGTCTTCCTGAGGCCAGATCGAATTCAGCTGAACAGCCAGTGGGGCTAAGTTCAACCTGCAGCTGCCTAAATGCTGGAATTATTCCTATGCCTGGCATAATAAAGATCTAGTGTTGGCAGTGGTTGCTTGTCTTATACATTCATAAATATTTATCCAAATATTAATGAGCAGAAAAACAATTTATTTCTTTTTTTCCTAATTGTAACATCAATTCTAATATGTTTTGTTACTTAGTCACCTCACAAGTATATTGATTTTCTTATCCACCAATAGGTATTTAAATGTGTTACAAGTCCATGCCAGGATCCTGAAATGAGAACTGTGTTTGGAACTTGTAGCAGGGCTGGTACTTTTAGATTTATTTCATTTTTTTCTTTGCAAACATTGGCAGAGTTATGTATTAAAAGTTCCACATAAAGGATGGGTAAGGGTTTCATGTGATGGACATGTCTGAAGGTTTCTTCAGACAGTACACAAATACAGTGTATGCATGCAAAATGCACAGCATGCTGCAGAAGAGCATTTGCTCCTACTGTTCCTCTACATACTTCTCTTTCTCTTTTCACATACATGCACACCCCCCAGTTGTGCATAATATTGGCATAATTTATGATTTCCAGTTGCAAGGGCGGGTATCTAATTTCCAAGACAGCATTTGAGAACTCTTCTTGAAATTTAGTTTCCACTTCAGCAGCCTGCTACAGCACACGTCTGGTTTAATGCATGCAGAGTCCCAGCAAAGTCAGCTACCTGCTTAGCCACCTTCCTAAACCGAGGCGTCACTTTTGATAGATCTCAACAACTTTTCATCACCCACCTAGATAATAAAAGATGCAGGTAATCTGACCTTGCATAGTAACTGAAAACTTTTTCAGTGATATTACTTGTGACAGCTGTATATTTCCTCAGAGGGGAAGAAAAAGCCTTAGGTCTATGCAATTCACTAAAAGCACACTTTATTAGTCCAGCATTTCCTTGTGTGGCTGGAAATTTTATCAGATGCTCACCAACATTCTGCTGTGCATTAATGACAGAGGACCACAACAAATAACCTCTGGCGATGATAAGAATTTGGCATGAGACCTTCTTCCTGTGTAGGTACCCATAAGATCACTAGGTATATAAGGGTGATGGAGCTTCTCTAACATTTGTGGAATTACATCAGTGATCCAGGAGTCTCATCTATTTTAAGCAGTCCCAAAATTACTCTTGTTGTCCCTCCGAAAGAGGAAAGTAGGGGTTTTTGCTTGTTTTTTGCAGATTTGCCTTTTATCCTGATGGGGGGGTTATTTGCAATTATTCCAAAACAGATAATAAAAGGTCTCCTGATTTTGCAAAAGTATGCAAAATCCCTTTGCCTTTCCCCTAATGCAAATAAGAAGAGTTTAGGTAGATGTGCTATCGATGAAGTTCGTACACAGGATATAATGTTTACCAAATAAACAAATTTATTTTATAAATGGTAGCTTTACCTCTCTTCTAATTCACTTATTTTTAGAGCTGGGAATTGGTTTGTTCAGGGTAAGAATAGCAACCTCACCATCAGCTTCAGGGGAATTATACCCGATACACACTGGTGTAAGCATCAGCAAAATTTCAATCCAGTATCCTGGCATAAGGGCTGCTTTCTCCTCCTGGATTTCTGAGACAAGAGACAATTGGTAATGCTGCCAAATGAACTCCCTACAAGGAGAGGGCACAGGGGTGTCGCAGAGCTCAAAGTCTATGACAACCCGGTCTCAGTTTAAGCCAGGAATAAGGACTGTGCCTTCTGGGCATATTATGTACATTTTACTGGTGCCCATGTTAGCTACAGGGAAGGGAGACAAGACCAGGCAGTTTCATCTCAACACTGTAAAAAATTGCACTCAGATATGTCCCCACTGCTACAGTTCAGATCAGAAAAAAAAAACAAAACCCTTCACTAACCATTGTCACAGTTTTTCAGGGTTATAGTAGAAACTCCCAGGGTCTCATACCCTTCTGGTTCAGTGCATAGCTTTATATATGCAAAAAAATACAAATGCTTACGGTCTGGATTTTAGTATTTGCATTGTAGTGTTCTGCTTCTGTTCACAAAACCACTGACAAGCAAGCCTTTGCCTAGCTCTCCCAGGGCACACGGCCGATGAGCTGCCTGAAACAGCAGGGCCACAGAGAAAAAATACAACCAAAATGTTCAGCATCAGGATCACCTCACTCATAAACTCCTGACAGATTGAACACACCGGAGCTGGAATTACTGGAAAGATGATGATTTACCTTCAGACTTCCCAGCTGCAGCCGACTCCGAATCCTGCCGCAAAAGGCAAACAAAACCCAAGAAAATATCTGATGACTTCGTGTTTTTCTATGACAACCGACATCATTTATGACCCATTATGTAATGACACGAGCATTATACATTGAAAAGCTGTCTTGAAAGACATTGTAAATAAACATTCCTGGTTTGCAAACAGGAAGCCAGAGATATTACTGTGGAAGCTGAGAGGATGGGGTTAGATTCTTGAAACGTGAGTGATTTGGTTTTTTTCCTTCCATCTCTCCCAAACTCGTGGTGCAGTCATATTGTTACTAGCTAATGCATGTAATTTTCTCTCCACCCTTACAGCTAAAATATAACTTAAAAAAAACATTAAAGAGAACAGCGATGGAATGACAGACTAGATAGGTACAAGATGAGAAATAAAAGCAGCAAAAAGATAAAATAGGAGATATAAACTATTTGGGGCTACAGGGATTCACACCAAGTGTTGGAAGAGTCTAACCTCCAACACCGGACCATTGCAATGACTTCAGCAGAAGGCACAAAATCACCAAGAATAAATATTCCCCTGGGGAAGCATCTTCAAATTCCACACACTGTATATGCAGGTATGTTCTGCACCATGTAGGGGGAGGTTCTTCAAATACGTGTAATCCTCCTAGCAATCAGAATTGTACAAAGAGAGGTAATAGTTCATGTTAGCCTAAATATTGATGGAAAAAAAACAGGGTTTGGGGTTTAAAATTCTTTCTCAGGGCTGAGATGAGGAACAAGCTTCGAGCTAGGCTTTGCAGCCTTTCTTTCAGACCTGAGTGGATTTTGAACTATGTTTCTCACTCCAGTAACTATTTCTCTACAAACCCTGCTCAGCTCCTACCCTTAAGCCATTACAACTACTACAGCACTACTAACTACCTGCCCTTAGCTTGAGGGAAGCAAATTCCTGACAGCAATAGGTTGAAACTGGCTGAATTGCACTCTTCTCACTGCAGCAGCCTGCACAGGGGGTTACACAGCCAACTCCAGCACAGCCCCCAGGGTCCAGTGAAGCATGGCCTGCCAGCTGACACAGCAGTCAGAGGAGGGCTCACCACCAGCTTCCACCAGAGAAGGATCAGACCCTTTCTCCTTTTGATGTATTTCAAAGCATCGCCTTTTTTTCTATGCTAACTGCTCATAACAGTTGCCCAGACCCGGCATCGAATAAACACCGGCTTTTATATCCCAGCACTAGTGTTACTGTGAAGGAAGTGTTCAGTCAAACAATACCACTGAAGAAAATCTTTTCTCCTACTGATGCCATGTGACAATTTTTTATTATTTTTTCCTCTAACCTGAATTTCTAACCCATTTTAAACCTGCCATTTTTTCACACATTAATGGGAAGATTTTTTTCCTTCCTCCTTTCTCTGCCTTTTCCCCCCCCTTCAGTAGATCAACTTTAAATGCAATAGTGTGCTCATCCTGAGTGACCCTGCCTGCTGGGAGTAATTGTCTAGAGGAGAATAGAAGAATCTAAGAGCTTTTGTGCAAGGGAATAGAGAAGACAGACTTTATTATGATTCTGAATCATAAGCTCGCTCTCTTTTCCCCCCACCCCATCCTTTCTCTCTCTTCCTTTCTTTCTTTTTTTTTTTCTTTTGGGTTCTAACAGCTGTTTCCCATCACAACCGGTGTTTGAAAGACACAGCAAAATTGAGTGTATCAGTATCACAATTAGTTTCACAGGCGGCTAATAACTTACTTGCCAGCCATGCCTGATTTAATCAGGACAGTCCTGATTTATGGTTGTTTGTCCCAGTGTCCGATTTTCTCTGCCAGCTCCATCACAAGGAGATGCATGCAGCCCGCTTCTGTGCTCTGTCAGGGCCACCAGTTCACTATGGTGGGCTTGCTGCACCAGAGGGGAAAAAGGAGGAGGAAGCTCAAATGAGAAGTCTGGAGCCCTCTAACACAACTCAGGAAACATATTCTTCTTTCTGTGATAAACAGAGCGGCTCACACTGGTGGAGGCGCGCCAGGCTGACTTGTAGAGGCTTGTACATTTATCAAGGTATCTCACAGTGGCCTGCTACCCCCCTCTTCCCTTGTGACCTGGAGGAACCTCCTGGGTTAGGGTCAAAAGGTGATTTTAGCAGCACATTATCTCAAGCCTGCAAGGCCCCAAGCTGCTGCAAGTGAGTCTTCTGTCAATGGTGCCAAATTACGCGTGGCTCATTTTTGCAAAGTGATCTACTGCTGCTGCTCACTGGGGACAGAGCTGAGACCATCCAACTCATTTTTCTTAGGACTGCAAGCTGGTCTGGAGTAAGTCCCAGCAGCGAGAGCCAGGCTCATGCCTTTCTCACTCAGCAGCTCTACTCCTTGGAGCTGAAAAAAACCTGTCCATGAGAAGCTATTTAATGGATCGGTTGTAGCACTTAAAAGATGAGATCTGAGGTAGCCTTGCATATGGATGAAAAAGGCAGAAAAAAATAAAAAGAAAAGGAGAAAATAGGTTTTGTTTGCTCGAGGCTTTTGGCTAGGCTGCTGCACCACAGTTCCTCCCACTTAAAGGAAATAGGCAAATCATTTCCTTGAAGAACACAGAAATGTAAGCAAAGCTGTGCTATAAATAGGCATCTGAATTAACACCTGCACGGCCCTTCAGGGTGGATTTCCCTGCAGCCACCTGCAGATTGCTCCAGTGTTCTCCCTCACATCTCTCTGCTAGGTTCTCTTTGCTGGGATGGTTACAGACTGGAGCAGTGACCAAGCCACTGCTGAGCTGAGCCCACTGGCCATTGCTGTCCCATTGTCACCTTGGGCTCCCCAAAACGCAGCAAGGTAAAAGGTCTGTCTGTATCTGCTCTTTTTCTGTCATCTTTTGGTTTGGTTTGGATTTGCCTATATTTCTGAAGGGGAGAGAAAGTTGAGGTCCAAATCCACAGCTGCTGTTCCTCAGTGCCACAGCAACAATACCCTCAGGGATGTCTAATCATGAGAGCTGTAGCACGTTCATGTCAAAGGGAGCCTGTGCATCGTGATTAAGAGTGTTTTCAACCTGCAAATGGAGGTTTTCTACTTTAGACTGAAAGATTGTCATGGAAAATCCCTCATGTCACCTGTTTTTAAAGATGTGCGTTACACTCCTATAGTTAGCTCTGAAATGTGAAAGACAAGATGGGCCTTGTCATCACAGTCTTAAGTCAGGGATATAGAAATCTCAGGCTCCCAGTTTGCAAGGGGAGATGCAGGCTGACACATTGCACCTTCCTTATACGTGCTGAGGGATCACACTGAAAGGGCATCACATAGGGTTGCCACGCAGTCCTGGTCCTTGCCCTGAGGAGCTTTAGTTTGGGTACAAGGCAACAATCTCACTGGGAGGCTTGAAAGACGGAGGGCGTTTTTTTCTTTTTTTCCTCTTTTCTTACCTTATAGAGAGAGTTGGTAATGCATGACGGAGAACACACAGCTATTGAACGCATAACAGCTAATCAAGCTACAAGAAGGGATACTGACTATTTCCTCAGATGACAAGATACAAGCAGAGGCCACAGCACACATTTTCCCCTAGCTGGAGGAGTTGAATCTGCATTTGCAAGCCCCTAAGGAGCAAGAATTGGAGCATCTCAGTTGCCAATTTCACTTAATTTCAAAGAGTTTCAAAACGCAAATTTGCATTCAGGTTTTCCAGCTCAATAAAAGACATCTTGCACAATACCTTTTACAGGAGGCATTCACTCTGCTTCAGCTGGAACACTTCCCTTCACCCTTGGGTTTCCTATCAGCCATTTCTAGCTGGCTTTCCCTTCAGTATGGAGACATGCTGATTTGCCCTACAGCAGGGACCAGTCTCTCTGTATGGTCCCCAGTGGGGGTCTTCAGCCTTTCCCAGTGGCCTCTGGAGCGGCCTCATGTTGTTCTTTGTTTCACGCTAAAGAGGACTGGAGCAGTCTGGAAACCTTACCTCATTTTTAGGTTTTCCAGTACTGAGCTTAGGTCCTAAAGTAGAACCTAGATCTAGCATGTCGTTACAAGCAGGTATCCAAGCAATGGATTTCAGTGCTAACATCTCCATCTTCTCTCAGAAGGAGCCATCATTGTTTTCTCATCAAAGGTGGCAGAAAGGGGGACTGGAGCTGCAGCAACTCCAGTGAGAAATCTGCACTTGGGATTACTTCTTACCATTCTTTTTTCTTCCTCTGTTTACACAAAAGGCAGACCACGTTCAATGGTATCAGCGCAACCCAACCATGATACTCATTGAGCAGTTAACACACATGCAGATACAAAGAGAAAAAGAAAAAGTGACAGTCTATCCATCTCACTTGGCATGTTTATATGTCCTTTTTAACCATAAAAAAGAAGCCTGTTTACAAAGCGGAGTGTCGGTAACATTGTGTAAAGGAACACTTATCTGAGAAACTTTGATCTCCTTCTGAAGCACCATTACTCTGAGACAGAACAGCTAATGGCTCTTTGGGTGGGAGAGAAAGTTTTTCAACAGGAAAAGAAGGAAGTTTATTGTGCTATCTAGTGGACACATTTAGAAAATTCCCTCCTTGGAATAAGTCACCGGCAGCCTTAACCCACATCATGCAGGCTGCCGAATGGGGGGGAAATAACAAGGCACTGAGGCCTCCTGTAATGGGATAGCGGGGAAGTTGTTACTCTAGTGCAGGCCTGCTATCTCACTCATTTAAGTAATGGACATATTAATGGAGCTGAGAGCTAAACCAGACACATAGCCTGCCTATTGGAGCTAACGTTTTCCATTTACTGACTCTGGGACGCATTTTACAATACTGATTCACGTATCTAGGTCCTACTTGAGTGAGTAATCATACTGGCTTTGAAAGCACAAGCAGAACATTGGCCTCAACAATGGGTGTAAAAATCCACTGCCAGGAGAGTGGTGGGATCAGATCCTAAAGCATCTAGTGATGAGTTATCATTAAGTATAAAAATATGAATGCCTTTTTTTAAAGGACTGTGGATTTCTGGGATCCAGAAAGTGGGATGAAAAGCACACATAAGACTCAGGTAGATTTGGTTTCAGAAAGGTCAGAAATTCCACAAGAACAACATCATTTACTCCACTGCCTTTGCAAAAACAGCGCAAAACCTTGCCCAGTCGCTTTTGTGATCCTAATTTCAAGTTTGCCAGATATCCCTAAGACGCTGAGGTTCATTTGATGCTTCACCACAGGCAAAGATTTGGTCACCTCCGATCATTCCTGCAAACATATTGCTCTAAAATGTTTGTTAAAATGCACTGTCAAATCAAAACTTAATAGCACAGACCTTCCTCACAAACATAAACAGCACCTCCAGAGGCTCACACATCACTACTCTCCGCTTGCATCTGTCCTGCTGCTCTCCATTTTATTTCTCCTTGCTGCTGCTTGCACTTTTCAACTTCTTATATCTGTCGCTGAGTCCTTCACTTGGAGGCCACCGAAATCCTTGGGAGCCCATCCAATACCTGCCACCGGCTCCAGGCCCCACTGCAGCAATCCTGCCCTGCAAGCACTAAACGCTGCCTCCAAGGTACTGAACAACTTCATTAACTAATCTTGTTAAAAATACTCCATCACTAGCAGGCCTTTGAACACTGGCATCT